GGCATGCCCCTTAGATGGCACGCTTGGAGAGGGCCTTTCTTCATGTTAACGCCCTAAACAGCCAGCACTGTTCATGGGGCAGCTTGCCAACAGAGAACAGCCGAATTTGGTGGTGCCAGTTGGTGCTCCGTCTTCGAGCCCGTGCTGGGATCACACACGGGTCTCTCCAAAATGCACCGAAGAAGGATCATGGCAACCCTCTGTGTTGGCATCGCGGCGTCTGACGTCATGCCGTCGCTGATGAAGAAATAACAGAGGTCAATGGCATTTGACATATTAGGCCCAGTTCCGTGCAGTGGAGGTGCTTGTCGTCGAGCTTTTGCGGAGGCTGCGCTTATTGTTCCAAAATGGCACCGAAGAGTAGATGGGAAGGTTCTCATGTTGAGGCATGCCCCTTAGATGGCACGCTTGGAGAGGGCCTTTCTTCATGTTAACGCCCTAAACAGCCAGCACTGTTCATGAGGCAGCTTGCCAACAGAGAACAGCCGCCTTTGGTGGTGCCAGTTGGTGCTCCGTCTTCGAGCCCGTGCTGGGATCACACACGGGTCTCTCCAAAATGCACCGAAGAAGGATCGTGGCAACCCTCTGTGTTGGCATCTCGGCGTCTGACGTCATGCCGTCGCTGATGAAGATATAGCAGAGGTCATTTGGGATGGTAGAGTACCCCAGCCATAGGCATGAACACGGCCTTGCCTCCATACCATCCGAGTACTCGTCGCTGGGTGTTTGCATGATGCATTGAGCATGCAAGTTCCCACAAGGTGTACGGTCATCCGGGTTTGTCTGTCGGGTTTAAAGTTTAAACGGTCATTTCTTGGTTGTGATTTGGGTCAAGGTGGTCAACTGTTAAGGGAATTTGAAGTGTGCGGCCGAGGGTTCAAGGTTCAAGATTGTCGAGGCTGATCGTTTTTTTCGTCTCTGTTGGAGCGAGCGTAACGTGATGTATCATATTCACAGCATCACGAGACAATATACTTGCACGTACGCACTTCATCATCAATTCTTGGAAGCATTTGGTTCGCTGTTGAAGGGCAGCGTCGCAAGCTTTGCTGGACCGCAGCCACTGCAGCTGCAGAGGAGATGCTGCGTCTTCGTAATTGCTGGGTAAGGTTTGGCGGCATCCGTCGTGGAAATACGGAATGTTGACCCTCCAAATCTCCAGGTCCATTGGCTACTACGAAATTTCTAATTGCACTGACCACTCCAGTGACCTGACATGTGAGACTCCATCCAAACTTAGGCTTTAGCCAGTTGGCACGGCAGAAATACTTCACACCGAAAGAAACTACTCTGCATCAACTAACGGGCGGGCAAGACCGCCGACTCACATACATATTCTGGAATCACCTTTTGTTCGAGGTGTTCAAGGACAAGGTGGTGGATCTTGAGTTTTCGGACTTCCATAGTTTGGGGTTTCGGAGTCCGTCGCGGTGGAGGCCTTTCGCTACTTTCCTGCGCCATGGCCGAAGTGGATGCCCTAGTGGAAGCCGGCGGCGGGATGACCCCCAAGCATGCCGTTCACGAGGCGAAGGCTAGCCTTTCGCGATTTGCGCTGTCGGTGGGAGGCCAGTATCAATTTCCTAGAGCTGGAGGGACGCACTGAATGTGACCATCTTTGTTTTCAACGTTGACAACCTTTGGCTTTTCCTGCGCTCTTTCTTGGCTGCGAGGCTTGCAGCATTCGACAGGGTTCAACCACATCTAAGCATGCGCATCGCTACGCACAAGTGCCTGGCCTCTTTCTTCCCCAGTCGGCATGCAACGCTGTGCATTTTCTTCGGTCATCTGTAAAGGGAAACAAACGCCACCAAGATGCGCTAAACCCAATCTACACTTCCAAGCCTTCCAACGTTTGGGCTTTGACCTCCGAATACTGAAGGCCTTTTCGCCCATACCCTGTCAGGTTTCACAATACCCGCCAACGGACTTCGACACGGAGCCCGACTGGTATTGTGGCTTACGGTTGTCCGACAGGGATTCTGTCGAAGTATGAATTCAATCTCAGGCTCTGGATTTCAGGATAATATCATATATATTATATCTTATAGGGTCCAGGGTTTCCGGCTATATTCGGTGGTTGAAGGAGCAGCCACACAGCGATCCAAGAACGATTCCATAGAATGATCCCAGCATGTCCCCAACCCACTCCTTGGCCATAAGCCACCGAAAACACTGACTTGATCTTGTATGCTGTCCGCCCTCCAGACACCAAGCTCGGAAGGTACCCTCAACTGGACTAAGTGCGAGAGCTTGCTGGCAATACAGACTCCACGTGTTTCTCTCTGGTGGGCGATGTAGCCCTGCAGTGCTTAGAGAAGCTTACAAGCCTGCCGGACATGCAAACTAAGGTGCGCGACCGCTCGGGAGCTCCTTCTGAATGACCAGGCTGGTGCATGCAATGCAGATATCATCCCAGTGGCACTCTGAACCGCAAGCAAGTTGGTAATCCGCAGAGTTAAACGCCCCCGGGCCAAATCTCAAATCTTGCACAGGAAAGAAGCCACAAGCGGCAAAAACCTCGACCCTAAACCTGTACCTGTGAACCCTAGAGCAGTGAAGCCCTTGCAAGAACCTATATGTGCTTGCCTGTGTGTACGCATTCATGCCTGCACGCCTGCACTGGGCATCTGTGTGTGTGTGTGTGTGTTTACATGCCTATATGCTTGTGTACGTATCTCTGAGCAGTGTGTACAACATGTTGCATGTCGTAGGTATGCATGGTCTCCTTTGCATAGATATTAATGAATACATACAAAACAAAATACATGTATATGCTACCCCCCCTCTAGAACCTGCGTTTGGCTATGTTTAGTTGTGAACTATTGTCAGTGCACACATCAAACAATAGGGAGATTATTGATTGGGCAGGCGGCGGGGCGAATATACCATGACCATACGAAACATTCAAGTGACACTCCCATTCTGACGACTTACCAGTTTCCAATGTATTCTAATACACAAGTATAATAATGGACGAATATATCAATGTACGACTATACAAGTATGCAAACATACTCACATACTAGTACATATATGTATCAGTATACTAATCTATAAAAATACTAGTCTATTCATAATATGTGTTTAAAATATTAAACCTAATACTAGTACGAATGCTACTGCGTATACGAGTACTATTACAGTTGGAGGTGAAAGTCGTTACCGGGCCCTTGTTTTAGCAGCAGTCAAGGGGGAATAAGAAAAGAAGAAGGCGTTACTTTTAGCGTTTAAGAGGGGTTTAGGTTACCCAAGTTTAACAGGAGGGGATGATTGGATC